AGAGAACACCCCAACTCCGCGGAAAGGGGGGACGGATGAGGGGGGGATCCCGGGGATTCCCTGCAGGGAAATCCGGAGGTAAACAAGATTAGGGGGGTGAGGGGGAGCGGGTCCCGGGGTGTCGGGGCTGGGTGAGGGACAGCAGGGGCGCAGGCGGGGCTCAGCCAGGGCGCAGCTTTACACCCGCAGATGTTGCACCCCGATAAYCTTGTTTTTACCGGGGGGGGGCCCGGGTGAGCCCGAGGGGGGCGAGATTAGGGAGGTGAGCGTGACTCAGGCGTCTCACAGCAGCCGCGGGCAGAGCGAGCGCAGGGGCGTCCGGAGGCACCCCAGGGGTACGTGCGGGGTCACCTCGGGGTGTCCCCGGGGCTGGGAGGGGGAGGATGGGGTGGGCGGGGGGATGGAGGGGTGGGAGGGCACCCCGGGGTGTCCCCAGCGGGGATGTTGGGGTGGGAGGTGCTGTGGAATGGGGGGTACGGGCTCCATGGGGGAGCCAGGGGGTACAGGTGGTGGGGTCCCAGACCCGCCGTGGGGTTGGTGTGGGGTGTGTGGGGAGCAACCAAGGGGTCCCACCATTCCACGGGGATGGTGTGGGGTCTGTGGGCTCCTTGGGGAGCAACCAGAGGGGTCCCACCATTCCGTGGGGATGGTGTGGGGTTCATGGGGAGCCACCAGAAGGGTCCCAGCCACACTGTGGGGATGATGTGGCTCATTGGGGAGCGACCAGAAGGGTCCCAGCCATGCCTTGGGGATGGCATGGGGTCCATAGGCTCCTTGGGGAGCCACCAGAGGGGTCCCAGCCAAGCTGTGGGGTCTATGGGCTCCATATGGAGCCACCAGAGGGTTCCCAGCCACACCTTGGGGATGATGTGGGGTCCATGGAGAGCCACCAGAAGGGTCTCAGCCACGCCGTGGGGTCCATGGGCTCCACTCTGGGGTGTGTTGGGCACCTGCTGGATGGAAGGTCCCCTCCACGATGCGTGGACGGTGTGGGATGTATGGACACCATACGGAACCCAGCGGGGCTGTTCCCGCTGTGGGATAGTTTGAGGTGGCTGGTTCCATACAGAGCCCAACGGGGCTGTTCCCGCTGTGGGATGGAGCAGCCCCACGTTAGGGGATGGTTTGGGGTGGCTGGTTCCATACGGAGCCATGGCAGGAGGATCCCAGACGCGCCTCGGGGATGGTGCGGACTCCACACGGAGCCGCGGGGGCTGCGGGAGCAATYCCGGGGCACGGAGGGGTTTGGGGTGTGCGGGCTCCGTGCTGAGCYCTGCGGGGTGTTTGGGGCAGGAGGTGTGAGACCAGCCCTGAGCCTGCGTGTTGTGGGGTGTATGGACCCCAAAGGGAGCCGTGGAGGTTGTATCCACTGCGGGAGGGAACCCCCGGATGGTGTGGGGTGTACAGACCCCAAAGGGATCCCTGGTGGCTGTACCCACTGCGGGAGGGGTCCCCCGGATGGTGTGGGGTGTACAGACCCCATATGGAGCCGTGACGGTTGTACCCATTGCGGGAGAGATCCTCCTGAGTGGTGTGGGGTTTATGGACCCCAAAGGGATCCCCGGTGGTTGTACCCACTGCGGGAGGGATCCCCCTGCATGGCACGGGATGTATGGACCCCATAGGGAGCCCCGGTGATTGTACCCACTGCGGGAGGGGTCCCCCGGATGGTGTGGGATGTATGGACCCCACAGGGATCCCAGGAGATTGTACCCACTGCGGGAGGGGTCCACCGGATGGTGTGGGGTGTACGGACCCCACAGGGATCCCCGGTGTAGGAGGGATCCCCGGATGGTGTGGGATGTACAGACGCCACCGGTCCAGAGCTCCATATCCTGTGTCATGCGGCACTCACGGGCTCCACGCGTGTCCCCGGGTGTCCTGCGGGCTCTACGGACCCCATCCCGCTCACACCATGCGGGACACGGGGATCCTGCACCGCCCGCGGGGGTTCTGGGGCCGGACGAGCTCCATCCATGGGGCGGGAGCTGCGGGTTCCGTGCGGGGGCTGTGCGGGCTCTGCTCAGCGCGGGGCGGCTCCGGGATGCACCCGGCGGGTCCGGTGTCCACTCTGCCCGGTCCCGTACCACCCCCAGGTCCGGTGTCCACTCTGCCCGGTCCCGTACCACCCCCAGGTCCGGTGTCCACTCTGCCCGGCCCCTCAGCACCCCCAGGTCCGGTGTCCGCTCCCCCGGCCCCTCAGCACCCCCAGGTCCGGTGTCCGCTCCCCCGGCCCGGGACAGCGCGGGGGGCAGCGGGTGGAGCGGGGCGGGGGCCGACGCCCGGTGTCGGGCGTTATCAGCGGGGCGCAGCCCGGCGCTCCGGGCTGATGCAAGAGCGGCCGGCGGGGCTGGGGGGGCCGGGGGCCCCGGGACGGGCCGGGCTGGGGGGCCGGGGGCCGCCGGCCCCGGGGCCAGGCGGGGCAGGAAGGACACGGCCGAGTCACAGGCTGGCCGTCCATCCCGTGGCCCTGCCGCGGCTCCCGCGCCCCGCCGGGGATCCCGAGCCCCAACCGGGGGATTCCCGTGGCCCCCGCGGGGTGTCCGGGACCCCAGCCCGGCTCCTGCCACCCCCGGCCGGGAGCGAGCTCCTGCATCACCCCGGTGAGATCTGGGGGGGCTGGTTCACCCCAAAGCCCGCCGTGCCCTGACCTTGTCCCCCGAGCCCTCCCGGCTCCTGGACGCGGTGGAGGGGACAGCCGGAGTCCCTCGTGTCCCCGGGCTGTGGGGGTCTCCACGGGGAGGGCTGGAGCAGCGGGGCTGGGGGTCCCGGGTCATGACAGCCCTCCCCAGAGACTCTGGGCCGGGGCGGGCGGGGGGTCACGGCTGAGGAGGTTTGAGGAGGGGGCTCCGCACCCTCGGGACCCTCCGCACCCTCGGGACCCTCCGGGGCTGCCCCGGGGGAGATTTTGGGGGGGCGGGGTGCGCGGGCAGGGCGCCCCCTGGCGGTTGTGGGACGGTCCAGCCCCGGGGCAGCTGCAGGGACGGGGGAGGGGACAGGGGACACCCAGGGGACACAGGGGACACAGGGGCTGCAGGCACTGGGTGCTGCACAGGATCTGGGTGCTGATGGAAGGGCAGGAGCAGGGGCTCGCCCAGCTGTGCCCCCTCCGTGGGGCTTTAGGGTGCTCACCCCGTTCGGTTTCGGGGTGCCCCGTGAGTCCAGCTGTGCCTCAGTTTCCCCGCCTCGCTCTGCCAGGGAATGGGGACTGTGCTGGGGGGTTTGGGCGCTGTGTTTGAGACCCCAGCCCGCGTTGGGGGGGTCCACACGGGACCCTCATACTCGTGCAAGGATGTGTGGGACCCCAGCCCTGTGCGTGGGACCCCCACCCACACACAGCAGGGTCGTGTGGGATCCCAATTCCCGAGTGTGGGTCCGTGTGGGACCTGACCCCGAGCACAGGGCACGGTGTGCACGGGCACGGCTGGCTCAGGGCACGATGCCACGTCCCCGGTGGGAAGCTGCCGGGCTTCTGCCATGTCCTGACGTCGGTTCCCATCCCGGATGGCGRCAGGGCAGGGCATGACATCCCCGGGGACCCCCATCCCCAGGACCTCCCAGCCCGTGGGGAGCGGGTTCGGCAGGCAGGGACTGCGGGAAAGGTCACGGCGTCCATGGCAGGGGACAAAGCCCAGTCCCGGGGGCGCTGAGCGATGCCCGGCTCTCTGCTAACGTGTTCTCCTCTCTCGTTCCCCCCGCGCCCGCCCCGCAGAGCACCGGGTTATGGTGGCACCGGGCTGAGCGCCGGGACGCGGTGAGCCATGGAGGGGCCCGGCCAGGTAGGGACACCCGGCCCCCCGCCCCGGCTCCGCCCCGGCACGGCCCCGGCGAGGCGTTGGGGGTGCCGGACCCTGCTGACCCCCTTCTCTCTGTCCCGCAGGAGTCCTACGAGGAGGGGATGAGGAGGACCCTGGACCCCGAGGGCTACGAGGACCCCGGCCTAAAGAGCTCCCAGCTGTCACTGGGCGAGATGAGCAGTGAGTGGCTCCTGGAGGGGCTGGGGACACGGGTGGCACTGCACGAGGGTGGCACTGCACGAGGGTGGCACCAATGTCATGCAGTGCTGCACGGGTGTGGCATTGCGTGGGCGCCGGTGTCGCAGAGGTGACTGCGTTGCGTGCGTGACAATGGCATTGCAGAGGTGACAGCTTTGCACGGATGATGGCACCGCAGTGATGGCAGTGGCACCGGCTGGGTGCTGGCATGGCAGGGACACCGATGGTGTTTGTGGGCAGCAGAGTTTTGTGGGTGCAGGGACACCAGCACGGCACGGGGGTGTTGCATGGGCCTTTCTGCATGGGTGCCAGCTG